CTGATGGGCCACATCTTTCTATCAGAATAGGCATCAGAGCCATACTGCGCCTTTCATAGCCAGGGATCGAAAGACAGAGAAATTATAGAGTGGTGAGCTTGCGGTCGTAAAAAGAAAAGAAATAGTAAGAATGTGGTGACAGCCGTGCACAGCTGTTGAAAACTCCTGTGTTGAACTTTGCCAAGACGGATGCTGAACTTAGACCTGCATGTGCATTATTAATATTGACCACTTACATGAGAATAAAGAGACATTTACTCAGCAACTGACGTGCGTGAATTAATCATAGAGCCATACTCAAAGGCACGATGAATTCTCTTTCATGACAAACCTGGCAATTTTCACTTAAATGACAGATGTCTTCAGAATGACAAAAGGCCGGCAGGTCGGTCATTATCTCCGCTGTTGTCTGAGGGACCATCAGAGATTCAGCAAAGAAAGAGCGTTGTTGTTTTTCTGAGCATGGCATTTTCCACTCGCCAGTATTATTCCTCAATGGCGGTCATAGATACCTTGAAAGAAAATGTTTACCATCACACACAGATTTAAAATGATGGAAGAGAGGAGACTGCTAGTGATGCAGTTATGTCCTGGGAATTTCCGCAGTAGAATGCAGCAAAGGTCAGTCTTTCCACGGAAGATACACTTTAATGCAGTTACTATAGCGAATTCTGCATAAATAAGCATGTGCTTCTCTCTTGCTATAGAGCAGAGGTTGCCCTTCTTGCCTCGGGCTGTATGTGTACTGTGCTATATGTTTAATGTCTATATACTTTAACAGGACGTGCTGTGTGTGTGTGTGTGTGTGGGGGGGGGGGGGGCACATCCTGGACATGGCTCCCGGTGGCTCCATAAGGTGGAAGCAGAATTAGAATGGATTGTTCCCGCAGGGCTCTCGCAACCTCAAGGCTTGGTTAGATACAAAAATATAGGAAAAAGCGCACAGAAGCCATACACATGAAGAAACATAAACCACACTTAAAACTGCTAGGAGAAGAAGTGCCCATACTCCCATTTTAAAACTTTTTTATTACATTTTGTGAGTTTTATTTCTTCCAGTAGGACCGCATTGATTCCTGATGGTGTGTGTGTATGCGTACAGTACATTGCATTACGCCTCGTTATTCTGATGGGTTTCATTAGCAGGTTTGAAGACAATCAATATCAACACCAGCCTGTCTGGTCTCTCTCCTTCTCTCAGCTCCATCCATCCGAATCGTGAGTGTCCATGTTTTATCCTCCATCCGTCACTGTCAGATGAACAGGCTGGCCGTGGTCGCAGTGGTCAGCCCACGTTAGAGCCACAGCTCGCCGCACAGTATGAGGTTGTCTGAAAGTGTGTAAGTGTGTGTGTGTGTAAATGAGTGTGTGTGTGTGTGTCCGCAGACTCCTGGCCACGTACGCTACTGTGTGTGTGTGTGTGTGTGTGTGTGTGTGTGTGTGGTCACAGAGGAGAACATGACAGAATGGAGCCGCCTGCTGCAGTCCACACACTCTTAAGTCTGGGTTTTGTTCTGTGACTACTTCACGTCCTGAAGGAGTTTCTGAGTGCATTCAGAATCGGAAAACCTTTATTTCTCCCACAGTGGGGAAACTTACATTGTTACAGCAAATTGGACAGTGCAGATAAAGACACATTCAGTGAGTGGACTAACATAATAATTAAAGAGGCAAGCCCATGTTAATAAAATCTGAATACACATCCAAGGTAGAAAAGATAAGTAGCAGATTTATACATTTAAGTTTACATAAGTGACGTAGCAGCCAGTAATAACAGCGGTGAAATGTAAAAAGTGTATATCTTACAACACGATTTTTACAGCATTAGTTAATGCAAAAAAGTATAACAATTGTAAAATAGTATATATTCCACATAAGAAGTGTTATTGAATAAAATTGCCGATCTGAATAGCATCACTATGTTGCTGGGTACAATTTCCTAACATATTGATATAACCTCAAGAGACATAAAACATAGGGACAAGCTATATTCTAAAATATGATATCAGAACATGCATCTTCTACGTGTAAATGTGTGTTTTTCGTTATTATGTATACAAGACCATTGTTCCAATTCTCCCCTTTCTTTCAGGGTCGGATTACGTTTTTTCAATGGACATTTCTGTTTAAAGCAGCTATTGTGTTTGTTAATAGATGGGGCCCCTCTCGAGTGTATCCCATGAATAATAATGTTATTATATAAATGAGCCCCAAACAGCCTGAGGCAGAGAGGCAGGTGTAACTGAGCAAATCTATCATTCTGCTTGAATGGCTTAATATCCAGCCGCATTTAAAAAATAACTTCTTCTTATCACTATACTTTACTCTCTTCAGCGGCCAATTTGTATTCTGTGTAGTAACTATAGCTACGAGTGGCACAAAAGAGACATTGGGGTTGGTGCCTGGGTTTTATCTCTGAGTTTTTAACCCCCGATGAGCAGAGGCACAGCTTGAGATCCTTGGCCTGCTTCGGTCCCTCCGCAGTCTAAGCTGACAATTATTGCCGTTTGAACTTTTTCCACCAGAGTCTCCCGGCACCGAAAAGACCTGCCGGATAACTCGGTGTCCTTTTGAAATGTTTGGGAAAACACTTTTTTGAGTTTGTTTGACTACAATCTGTTCTGTTGACCTTCTATGTTGTGGTTTTGTCTAGTTTGAATCAAACCATGTTGAATACCATTTTTGTTAGCTGATTTATATTAAGTAAACAATTTCAAACCTATAACACCATGATTTTTGTATTGGTTTATTTAACGTGGCATCGCAACAGTTGCAGCCTCTCCTGCTGCAGTGATCTATTTCCTGCCATTCAGGCGGTGCAGGTTTGTACAGGTCTTTAATATATATCATGTCACAGCAGACAGAGGGTGTATGGCTCTATTGGCAAATTGTGTTTGTGTCTGAAAAAAGGAAAAGGTGAACCTTAATCAAAAAGTCACACAGTAGCTCAAAACTATTATATTCAGTGTGTATGTGATGTACATATGTATGCAATATATAAGATATAAGCATACTCAAGTCCAGTTGGGTGCAGCCAATCACTGTTGACCACTGCTTGAACTGACATATACTTGTGTTTCTGAATTTCCACAGTGCAAAAATAAAGAATTGTTAGACCGGACAAAAAACCTATATTCTTGATATGTCGATGCTTATTTAAGAAAACCGTGGTGAAGCTATTTTGAACCAGGAGTTTTAAAAGTTGTAAATATTTTGTTGACCATTGCAGAAATCGAAGCACAAGACCCTTATTTCTCCATTGTAATGTGCCATTGATGCTTGTCTCCTTTAGAATGGTCTCTATTCCTATATGAAAAGTGAGAAAATACATGTTTTATTTGCAAAAGAGTGCTGACAATAGGAGTGTACTCTATCAGCAGCAGTTGCAATGAAATGCATGCTCACAAATCAAAATGACATACTAACAGAGCATAACAATGTTTGTATGGGGTTGACCCTGGTTCTGTAGCTTGTTTTATTCTCACTTAGCTCTGAGCTGTTTCTATCTTGGGTCTTTTGTTGTTGTAATTTGTAGTGATGTTACGCTCGGAGCGGACTGCTCGACACAGACCTTTCATAACAGAAGTATGGCAGTAAGATGTTTCAATGCCTCGCTTCACCACACCAAAAATGTGACCCCAAAGGCGGCCTTGTTGTCACGCTGATATCAGAGAGGAAGTTTTGAATACAGAACATATGATTATATACATCAGTTTTTAAACACATTGCAGAATAATCTGTTTAAAAGTAATCCGGTGTCAAGCTGTATTGAACAAAATGGCAATAATTGAGCAGAAAAGTCACTTTTATTCTTAGAAGTGTTACATTTTTGTCTCAGATTTATCAATCCATACTAAAAGGAAAATCAAGGATGTGGGCAGATTTTTCAATTTCTGACAAAGAGACGCTGAGAAATAGAACTTCCTTCACAATTGCTTTGCAGTCAGTCAGTGCTTCAGAAAGCTTCATCCCTTCTCTGCAGAGCATGTACAAATCCTGCAGCTCAGGTCTAAAAATCTCCAAGTAAGCTAGTTCTACAGGAGAGGTATTCCCCATGGTTTTGAGATAATTACTTTGTTCCCTTATGAGAACCCTTTTGAATTTAGATTAGGCCAATAACAACCCTGCGACACTGCGTGCCCTCTGCATCACATCTTGTCAATTGAGGCTGTTAATATGGCTGACCCTTGTCTCATTTCTCCTCTCATGGCATCAGCTGGTCCCCCTCTGCAACCTCAGCGGCTGCCCACAGGCGACTGCAGCCAACACTGTGGCAGATGAGGCAGACACACAGGAAGTCTCATCAATAATGCAGAGCGGTAGCTGGGGGAGAGGAATTGTGGTGGCGTGAGTGAGAAGTGAAGCTGGTGTGTTAGTGTTATTCCTTCCAAATGGACATTTTGAGACGACAATCCCCAGAGGGCATGCGTAAGAGGCTATTATTAGCCTCTACGTTGAATAAATTGTCACGTGTTTGAAGAAAGATACACCCGGCCATATTTCTTCTTTGATGTTTTGTCATAATTTCCCCAGGGCACATGAGGAAATAAACAGATTATTAACACAGGAAAGAATATAAATATACCTTATTCATTTGTTTTTTTTAAAGGCCACCCAAATGTTTTTTTCATACTGTATGACGGATATGTGAAACACCCAAATAACTATGGAGCTACATGGGTGTAGTCCCAAACAACACACCCCTTTAAGGCCAAAACTAAAGTCTAATCCACTTCCTGTCTGTTAAGCAGCATGCAACTGTACCACATTAGAGTCCTCAGAGGAATAGGCACACATAATGATTAACTCCCCTGACAGCTGTCCAGATGCAAACAGAAATCCCGTCACACAGGCGCTGAGAATGACCAAGTGGCTGTTAGAGTACGGCAGCGTCTCCACCCAGCTGCCATCCTGCTCATTCCCTTTCTTCAATGCCCCTCATTGTATCGGGAAGAGGAGGCCCATTCTTACTCACATCTCTCGTGCTCTTGTTTCTCTAGGGGCCAGCCCTGAGGACGTGAAACTGTATGGAGAGTTTGGATGTCACCGGTGACACAGCTTCCCACTGCGTTTGACCGCCTTCAACTGCACACATCTCTGCTATCCAGGCGGCACCAATTAAGGCAGGCTTGAGACGAAGAGTGGTGACAGTATCCGAAGGCACAAGGAGCAAAGGAATACACTGGAGGAGGGGCCTGTGCGTGCTGCAGACGGGCAGAGGACTGCTTGTGAGTATCCTATTGTTCTCATTGTTGTGGGGGAACACATTTCTGCTGCACATTCCCATGCATTTAGCTTCTTCCAGTACAGAAAATAAGATATAACCAGTATTACATCTAAATATGAATGCAAATATATTGATTCCTGTCAGCTGCCGTTTTTCTTTATATATATTAGTCTTATCCACAGACTTTTACAATCTTACTTTACTGTGAAATACATTCAACATTAACTCACACGCTCATGTATCTCTTCCTTTTTGCAAGGCAGCTCAAATTAAAGCACATCTACAGGTGTTGTTAAATGAATGCATGTGATACTATACTTTGTCACTCGCTGTCTCACTATCCCTGTCACTCTATCATGGCTGTCTTCCTACTTTGTCTCTCGCTGCCTGTCCAATAGATGTTCCATTTTCACTAGGAAATCCAAGAGAGGAGATCCACTTACCTCTGCTGCCTTCGATCCCCCTGGCCTCTGATATGATTAGAGGTTGATATATATACGGTGTATGTGGGCATAGAGCACAGGAGCAGAGGTTGGGAGGTGAGGGAGACAGGAAGGGGAAGGTGTGAGAGCTCAAGAGCTGAAGCTGCTGATGACAAAGCCGAGAAAATAATCTTAAGGTGTGGAAGCAGCAAATGATGAGATATCGAGGCGAGAGAGAGAGAGAGAGAGAGAGAGAGAGAGAGAGAGAGAGAGAGAGAGAGAGAGAGAGAGAGAGAGAGAGAGATAGAGAGAGAGAGAGAGAGAGAGAGAGAGAGAGAGAGCTGTTGAAATCGCTTGTAGGCTCTTTTGTTTCCTCTCTACCAAATAAAATATCATGAAATCTTATTGGCAAGCCAAGAGTAAGATGAATCTTAACTGTATACTCTCATATTGCCTTTTGCCCAGTGCAAACAAACGCAGCAGAAAAAAAACCAGGTTAGCACAAAGATCTATAAAGCTTATAAACCACAGCGCCCTGAGATCACACCACCGGTCGATAGCAATGCTTCACACCAAATATTACACTTTTGTATATTACACCAACTGCTCTTATAAAAAGCATAACAGTGCAAGAACCCAGATATAGTGATCTGAGATGTGCTTTAAAAAACAGTAACCATGTTTAAGCTGTTATATCAATCTCATCTTCAAGTTAGCATTTTCGTTGGGAGTGTTTGGAAAAGAAAAACAGCAGTTCTAGTCACTTAAGGTAATGCAATGCAATACCAAGAGGCGTGCAATAAACCCTACGTTCGTAAGCTTTAAGTCAAGTTTTTGTAAATCCTTTTTTTATTTTAAGATTGTCTCCTCAAACGCCCCAAATCCTAATACCTCTCTTCCACTGTTTGTAATGCTGTATTGGTGGGCTTTGTTGTATTTCAACCATATTGCATTACATCAAAGGTTCATGTAAGCAACGCCTCACTGTAGGAGGCTTCAGGGAAACTGTTTGCTCATGTTTGACTTCAACATGTGAGAAACGGCACAAATCCATAATCTTTACATGATCATAGTTTTATTTACAGTCTCCAACAAGCTTGGAGCGGATAGCATATGTTATAATTTAGATAGCACACCCAACCTATTTAATTTGAGTGAGCTGAATTAGCACTGACTAATCAACGTAGCAGCCTCTCATCATAGATTTATAGACTGGCATGATTGCTGCCAGGGTGAAATTAACTCTTTCTGTCTGCAGGGAAATGTTGAAAATGCTTAGCTGAAACACACTGTCCCTGTAACACACACACTCACACACACTCACACACACATACACACACACACACACATATATATGCAGATGAGACTTGTTCCTTCTGGCGATCTCTGAAGAGCTGTCACACATGCTGCGTCTCGGAGCACCAGGAGACCGGGGTTGACTTGAATTAAACTGAGAGGATGTCCTTTCCAGATCTGCGGAGGGCCACAGAGACACATCCGCCCCCAGAGAGAGCCAGTCAAAAAGACAGAGGGAAGCCGAGGGATGAATGTAGGAAGGGAGGACAAAGAAGAGAGGTTGGAGATGGGGTGGAGAGGAGGAGGAAGTTAATAAAACAGAGGCAGGGAGAAATTGTCTGTGATGGGAGATAAGGTGAGAGAAGATGAGGATACTAGAGGAAGGGAAGATAAACTTGTGTGTGGGGGTGTGTGTGTGATGGTGACAGAATTTGACAGTTAGAGAGAGAAAGCTCAGAGAAGCTAAACCCATCACCACCTATAAATCCTTTTTTCCCTCTGCTCTGGCGAACTCACTAAAAACTGTGTGATGAATACATTCTGTATATTTAAATTGATTAGCAGTTCAAGTCATTTGATGGTCCAGCATCCTTAAATGGGCAAATGTGCTGCTTGAGCTTGTCATAGCATTATTTTACATGTTTTGGTCTTATACAACAAGACATTTAATGACTTTTGGGGCAATCAAATTGTGATTGCGGTCATTTTCACAAATTAGGTTTTTTTTACCCAACAATTACCAGTCAAGAAAATAATCAAAAATACGCTTCAACAACCCTGTTATTGTTCATTTAAAAAAATGTGGGTGAAATACACTGAACAAAAATATAAACGCAACACTTTTGTTTTTGCTCCCATTTTTCATGAGATGAACTCAAAGATCTAAAACATTTTCTATATACACAAAATAACCATTTCTCTCAAATATTGTTCACAAATCTGAAAGAATCTGTGATAGTGAGCACTTCTCCTTTGCCGAGATAATCCATCCCACCTCACAGGTGTGGCATATCAAGATGCTGATTAGACAGCATGATTATTGCACAGGTGTGCCTTAGGCTGGCCACAATAAAAGGCCACTCTGAAACGTGCATTTTTGCTTTATTGAAGGGGTCTGGGGGGGTCCGAAAACCAGTCAGTATCTGGTGTGAGGGTTAGGGTTAGGGTAATGTTGTGAATCGAGTGGCCTGTGTTCGTCGTCCATAACATACGCCTGACCATACCATAACCCCACCACCACCATGGGCCACTCGATTCACAACATTACCCTAACCCTAACCCTACCGCTCACACCAGATACTGACTGGTTTTCGGACCCCCCCAGACCCCCCAATAAAGCAAAACTGCACGTTTCAGAGTGGCCTTTTATTGTGGCCAGCCTAAGGCACACCTGTGCAATAATCATGCTGTCTAATCAGCATCTTGATATGCCACACCTGTGAGGTGGGATGGATTATCTCGGCAAAGGAGAAGTGCTCACTATCACAGATTTTTTCAGATTTGTGAACAATATTTGAGAGAAATGGTTATTTTGTGTATATAGAAAATGTTTTAGATCTTTGAGTTCATCTCATGAAAAATGGGAGCAAAAACAAAAGTGTTGCGTTTATATTTTTGTTCAGTGTATAAATGTATACTATTGATTTAGGTTTTTAAATGAGTTATTATAATGTATCACACACGTGGTCCATATTTTTGTTTGATCACTTTGGGTGTTTATATGGTTTTAAGTTCAAAATCCATGGGATATTGTACTTTATATACAATTCTTAACATATGGGTCATATAATGATGGTGCTGGTTTTAGACACTACATACGCCAGTTATTGATAACAAAGCGCCATCTTCATACGGAGGGTTATCAATCCAAATCACTCAGATACAAAACAGTGTGCTCCATGTGTTAATCTGCCTCAGTCTTTATCACAGCTGCAGCATACAGATGAATCTCCCGTACATACAGTAGTTCCAGTATATTGTTCCAGCATGTAGGAAGTGATGCATACACAGAAAAAACAACAGTGTATGTTTAGAACAGATTACAGTAATGTGTGTCCTGACCTGAGGCTGCAGAGCTCATTCAGAATAGACCATCATTTTCTATGTCCCACCCCTGGGACAGCATTGTTATTAACAGTAAGCATTCCCCATTCACTTCTAGCAACATATGTCCTCCCTTGCCCTGTGTGATAAACATGCTAGAAACCAAGTTGTTCACACTACAAGAGCATTAACTATTTAGTAAGAAAATGCCTTCAAACAAAAAGCATCTATTGTATTTTCTAGTTATGCCTGCCTACACTAAGCAATCCGTGAACGTATTGCCTGGTGTTCAGCTTGGTGATGGCAGCTCTATACTCTTAATACAGGGAAGACACTGCTCTTTATTGTCACGCCATTACATCTGGAGCTCTTCAGAACATTTCCTTTTATCCTCTGTTGCACAATTTCTTTGTACAGTAATGACACAAACCTGCTGTGCAGAAGTCCTACAGGCGACATTTTCTCATTTCAATTCCAGGGCATTAACTGTTGAATTATTCTAAGATTAATGAAGAATTTCCAAGCATGTCGCACAATCATTGTATGTGATTACTTACACTAAATGAGCAGTTCAAAGATAATAGCGCACACATTTGGTGGTTTTAGGAAGTGCTTACTGTAAATGCATCAATGTTTATTTCGTTTTCCCGCCTACACCACATTACTTTTGTCCCCATGGCAGTTTTCTATCAAATTAATTCTCACAAGCCAAGCGAGCAAAGAAATGGCTGACCTAAAAACTTGTGCTGAAAAAGTGGCTGCCATGAAAAAGCTTTGTGAATCCGTTTTTTTGCTTTGTAGGTTATATGTTGTATTCCACCCATAGACTGTATTCCTAAATGCTTTTTAAAACACACCATTGAGCCTGTAATTAAACCACACACTAATTGATAACTTGTGATTGAATCATTGATTTATATTGAGAAAATACAGAAAATATGTACGAAAACGTTGTTCTCATTTATAACACTCCGTTCGATGTCTCACTATGGGATACGTAAGTAACCTATAGTTATTGTAGATGCTTCAGACAAGAACTGCTTACATGCAACAGCTCTGAACTGGGGTGTAAAATCTAGATCAATGTGTACAAGGACACATATTTCTCAGACATAATGTCATATTGTAAGGTCTGCATGAGTAAGAAAATGTTGTGCCATGATGCAACTGTTTGCAATTTCATTGTTATCATGAGAAATGTCTCTTAACGTTTCCCACTTCAACAGTGAATTATTCAGTG